GGCTAGTCTCTACAGCTGGATTTTCCTTGGGATCTGCCTTCCCAGAGTCCCCTTCCTACTCCAACTGCCCCTTCCTGCTCTAGGGCAGGGTTCAGCTCCTCCTCCACCCTAGGTTAATAGGCAACAGGTTTGCTCCTCTGGTCTGTGGCCTGCCCTGCCTTCCTTGGTCTCAAACTCTTAGGGATCCCATATGCTGTTCATATCAGTGGCTGGTAGTCCTGGAAGCCCATCTCAGCTGGGGGACTGGGGCTGGGAGGAGGAGGAAGACTCCTTTCCATTGGTAGAAACCCCAGAGGGTTTCTGGGGTGGCTGTGACCAGCTACACTTGGAGGTGGAGGAGGGGAAGGGACATCCTGGAGTGAATGACATGAGGCAGGCACAGAGGCTCCAGTAGTGGACTGGTAGCCGTTGGATGATTGGGTTTTGGGTTAGAGCTTAGAACAGAGCAGGCTATGGGGAGGATCTGAGACAGGGGTTGTTGAGGGGTGGGGAACAAAGGCTCTCTCTGAGAGTGTAAAGGAGACTCCCCAGGTACCACAGGGAACCACACAGGTGGATTTCACTGCCCCACTCCAGCCCCCAGCAGGGGAAGGGCCACCCAGCTCCCTCTCACCCTGCCTGCCTGCATGACTCCCCCATCCCTCAACACCAAGGCCACTGTCAGCGCTTTCCTTTCACTTGGCCACAGGAATGTTCCCAGAGCTGGGCTCTGTGCCTGCCTGGCTGGGACCCCCTCCATCCTGTTCTCTGGAGCTGCCTGGGATGTGGAGGGACAAGTGTGACACCCCCCAACGCGCACATATTCACCATCCCTGCCAGGGCGGCCCTGCCCACTGGGTGACCTTGGGCCTGTTGCGTAACTCTCTGGACCTTTAGAAAACAAACACCAGCAAAACCCAAAGCAGAGGCCTCTCTCACTGGGCTTGGGCCCCATTAGCTCATCTCTTAGAGCTGGATTATCTCACATGCTCTTAGACTACGCCCTCGCTGGTCCTGAGCCTCCCACATCACACTGGGTGAGTCCAGATTTTGCTCTTGAGCACTGTAAAAATAATCCCATGAGGACAGGAGGCCTGCACAGGCAGTGGGTGGGCATCCATACCAAGGGCCCTCTGAGAGTAGTTCAGAGCTGGGCCTACTGTGAGTGGAACCAGGGCAGGTTCAGAGATGGCAGTGACCTGGCAGGGGCCACGCAGTCAGTGGGGCAGCTGCCACCCTGCCCCAAATACTCTGCCTTTAACCAAAACTCAGCGTCTCCACCTGCATGTGAGACCTTTTGTGATGTGACCTCTGCTGGTCACCATGTGCTTACCTCTACCAGCATTCAGGGAGACCCTGATTCAGGCCCCTGGGTTGCCTCACCTGTGTTTCCACTTCCCCTTGAGTAGGAAAGTGACAGAATCCTAGGTGCCTCCTGAGACTGTCAGTTCACAGACTGCCCTCCTCTGTGGCCTCAGTTTCCCCATCTGAAAAGCGGGGTTAACAGCAGTCCACAGGAGGCAGTGAGCAGTGAAGGACAAGGTTTTACTTGACTACTGTCATAGCAGTTTTGAGCACATTTTGCTCTATGATTTGGGCCTATGAAGTTGAGCATTTCTCTAGTCTTAATCATGGCGGCATTTGTCAGACCCTTCCCAGATACATGGGCGGGTGCCTCAGAAGCCAAAATGGGAAGTGCCTTCCTACTCCCAGCCTTGCAGGGTGGGATGAGCTACCCCACCCCCTACCCTTCACCGCCCACCCTCTAGGCAGTCCCTAAGGCTAGGCGGGAAGCCTAGCAGCACCCCAGCAGCCACCACTGGGGGTGGGATATGCTTAGCATAAGTCCCACCCCCACGTGGGCCTCGCGTTGCCATGGGGACAGCGCAGTTGCCAGGGCGACCGACTCCCGTGGGCCACCATCCATCACTGAAGCAGCAGCTCCTGGGGGTGGGGCAGCAGCTCTGGCGCCCCCAGGCCTGAGGAGAGGCACCAGAGGCAGGGCACGGCCTGCACCCCATTGTCTGTGACCACAACACAGTGGGGACAGGAAAGATGCATATTCTCTTCCTGAGCCTCAGGCCTCACTGGGAACATTGTCCCAGCGCCCCTTCTTGTTATGCCTGCCTGCCCTTCCCCTGCCCTGGCTTTGCAGACAGGCCACCCAAGCGAGGACACTGCCGCCTTGTTTCCAGGCTGGCCAGCCGGTCACACAACCATCCCTATGTCCCTGAGTTTGGCCTGAATAGGCACCTGACAGCTAGGGTGGGGACAGGGAATGGGCAGTCAGCCTAATATGGCCCTGGGTGCCCTGGGGTTGTGATGGCTGTTTGGACCCCTGATCCAGCTCTGCCACTTTCCTGGGTGGATCCCTGGAAGCTATGTCAGAGTTGAAAAAGAAGGCCCTGTGATGTGACTCCCATCTGGGGGTGGTTGCTTGAGTCTGGCTCTGCCACTTCCTGGTCATCTCCTCTATGGACCTGGTGTCCAGCCATGGCAAGAGCTAATCAGGCAAGGGAAACAGCAAGTGCAAAGAGCCTGGGGTAGGAGTAAGCTGGGTGCACAGCCATAGGTCTGGTGGCTGGCACAGGGTTAGCAAGATAGGTACCAGGGGGCCGAGGGTAGAGAGATAGCTAGGGGCTCAGCCATGTGACCTGGCAATTTCTTCCAAGGAGTGATGGGAGCTAGGCAAGCCTTAGATTGGAGAGAGAGCAGGGTCTGATTGTGTTTTTGAAAAGCTGCCTCTGGTTGAAAGGCAGGTTATCAGAGACCAGGGAGGTGGCAGGGGAGGTAAGAGTTCTGGACTGGATCAGGGAAATGTGGGGTCAGCAAGAAGTGAGGGGTGGGTCTCCATGGGGGATACAGTGCAACTGGGCAGACTCAGAACTCCACTTGATCTGGCACTTCTGGAAGGGCCTCCAAGAGAGAAAGCTGGATCAAGCCTTTCCTGAGCCCCACCCAGCTGAAGGGAAAGCCATAGAGGATGCAGTTGTGCTACTGGGCCACTGGGAGGCACAGAGAGGGGTAGGTGCCACCTGTCAGGAAGGGAGGAGCTGGCTGGGGTCACTTGTCGGGGCATGGGAGCCGAGTAATCTCACAGGCCTCAGTGAGATCAGGAAACTGAGCCCAAGTGGGGCAGATGCAGTGCTGTGGCCAGCTTGGGCTCAGAGTATAGCCAGCACACTAAGGAGTCACAACTATGTGACCTCACTAGAGGGATCAGCTGGGGGTGTCTGCTGCTCCTCTCTTGTGCAAATAGGGAAACTGAGGTCCAGAGAGGTGCAGGGGCTTCTTTGGAGGCCTGATATAAGGACAGACCTGATATAAGGTCTGATATAAGGACAAGGGGAATTAGGGGTATCAGGAAAAGCAAAGGACAGTTTGTAATTTCAGTCCCTGTGGAGATAAGGGGCTGGTGGGGGAGCTGGAGGAGGAGAGTGGGAAGCCTGGGCAAAGGAGGAGAAGGCTGAGAAAGGGAGGTGGAAGGGCTGAGAGGGACTTGGAGAGAGGGTACTAGCGGGTGGAGGGTTGGGGCATCTGGCCTCTAGTGCTCACCCCCCAGCTGGCTGCCGGCCCTACCCCCATGAGACTGGGCCTCCTGCCCATCGATATTGTGCAGAGCAGGCCTCTGGCCCTGGGATCATTTGGGACTTGGGACAGACAGCTGGAACACCCCCACACACCCCTCTGTCTTCCCCTGCCTGTGTCCTTGGAGTGGCAGCAGAGCCTGAGGTTATGGCTGTGCGCTTGCTCAGCCCTGCATCAGGGCCACGTTCAGTTTTCCTAGGATTTTACGGAGCACCTGCTATGAGCAGCGTCCAAGGGAAGGAGGGGCTGGGTTTGCAAGCTCCTCCCACTGGACTGGGGACTGGAGCAGGGACGGGAGGGCAGTCCCTGGACTTGCAGGTCTGTCCTGGACAAGTGAGGAATGTGGATGCTGACTGGCGCCTGGTCAGGGATGCGGAATTCTCCAGCTCCCTGGCCCTGTCCACTCAGGTGCACCAGGCAATGCTGGTGTTTTTAAATTAGCATATAATAGTTGTACACAGGACTACATTGTGATATTCACATGTGCTCATGTCTTAGTTAGATTTACCCACTCCATTGTCTCCTTCCTCTCCCTACCTCTTAGAACAATTTCAGCAGATTTCATTTTTCTATTTTTATATGTGAATACAAAATGGATTGACCATATTCATCCTCATTCCTTCTTTTCCTTATGTCCTCCCCCTCCCTCTGGTACCTACCTCTGGAAAAGACTTGTTTTACCCTCCTGCCCTTCATTTTTTAAGTGTGTATTGATAGTCCAAGGTTAATCAGATTAACCTCCCCCCCATTACTTTATCACTATGCTGCTGATATTTTTAAGGCACCTACTGTACACCAGCCCTGGGACTAAGGCTAAAACCTCTCTGGGGAGGCTGTAAAAAGATGCTGGATAAGAACAAAGGTCAGGTTGAATCCTGGTCTTGCAGCTGTGTCGTTGGAAGTTCACAGTCTCACTGGGCCTTTGGGCTGCTTGGAGGCTAATGTGGGAAGTGCTAGAAGTCCCAGAATGGTGTCATTGACTTTGCAAGCCCAGGGTTGGAAGTCTGGCAATCCCCTCATTCTTCCTGTGCCCTCTTGGTAGCTGGGAGAGTGTGGAGAGACCATCTTAATCAGCTTCCTGAAACACCCTTCTCTGCCCTTTGATGCCTGGTGACTCCTTTGCATCTCTCGTGGCCCAGCCTCAATACCCCCTTTCCCACACTATTTCTGGGTCTCCAGGCAGAGCTTTTCCTCCTCTTGCCCTGGTTCTCTGGGCCGTACCTCCCTTGGCCCTGCTCTGAGGGGGCTGAAAAAGGATTTGCTGAGTGAATTAATGAAACAATAAGCCTAATGGGGGGCTGGGAAGAATCCCACTTTACAGAATGCAGGTGAAACCATGGCCCATGATCACCCAGATGGGAAGGGACCAACTGGAACTTGAAGGGAGTCTAGTGAGAAGCAGGAGTAGACTTGACTTTGTCTCCTGTCCCCAGGGTCCTGGCAGCAGACACCACGTCCCAGCAGGAGCGGCTCCAGGCCATTGCAGTGAGTTTCTTGTGCCTGTAGATGGGGGGAAGTTGAGAGACCAGGGATCCCAGGGGCCAGGGGTGTTGGGGCCCCCACGCCCAGCCTGGTGCAGAACGAGGGCATCGCAAATGATGAGTTATCTGTTTCGGAAACTTGAGTTGGCCCCATACTTCCTCACAAAATGAAAATAGAGACCCTCCTTAGTTGCCAGTCTCGTAGACACGGGCCTTGGTGTGCGTGTGGTGAAACCGAGGGTGGCATTTGTCCTCAGAATGCAGGAATGCAGGCTTTGGTGGTGGAAGCCCAGATGTGATGCTGTCTGGCAGCCTCTGCCCCAGGAACAGCACAGTCATTGGATCTTTCTGTGCCCTGGTCCTGATGTGAAGGCTCAGGGTGGGACCATCATTGGGCTGGGGCCAGCTAGCCAGTGACTCTATGCCAGGGTATGCAGGGTAGGTTCTCCTGGGCCAAGCCCAGATGAATGTGTCAGGCTTGTAGGTCCTCTTGTCTTGACCATGCCCCATGCCCCACCAGGAGAAGCGAAGGAGGCAGGCAGAGATCGAGAATAAGCGCCGGCAACTGGAGGATGACCGCCGGCAGCTGCAGCACCTGAAGGTAGTGGACACTGTGCAGTCCACATGGGGTGGGGCCTGCATGGGTTGGAGTTGCAGTGGGATGGCGTTTGTGTGAGGAGGTCTGCATGGGGTACTGTGTTGCCTGCGTGGGGTGGGGTCTACATGAGGTGCTTTGTAGCCTACATGGGTGGGGCTTGGATGGCTATGGGGGAAAGGGCTGAGGTGACCAAAACCACAATTTTGACCCCAACCCTGACCCTGATCCTTATTCCAATTCTGACCCTGACCCCAGTGCTGACCTTGATCCCACGCTGACCCCATTCATAACGCCAACTTTGACCCTGATCCTGACTGTCTGTTGTCATTGTCCCAATCCCAATCCTGACCTCATTCATGACCCTGACTCCAGTCCTGGCCTTGACCCCAACCTTAACCCTGACTCTGACCTTGATCCTGATCCTGACCCCTCAATTCAAACACTGATCCTTACTCTGACCCCAACCCAAACTCCGACCCTAGTTGTCACACTGATCTTGATAATAATCCTGACTCTGACCATGATGCTGACCCTGACCCAACTCCAGCCTTATCCCCATTCATGACCCTGATCTTGAGCAAGACCTTGAACCAAACCTTGTCCTTGCCCTTGCCCCTGATCCTGACTGACCACAACCCTGACACTGACCTCGAACCCAATCCTGACCCTAATCCGATTCTGACCTCCATCCTTGCAACCCTAGTCCAAGGCACTTCGGGAACGCTGGCTGCTGGAAGGGACGCCATCCTCAGCCTCAGAAGGGGATGAGGACATGAGGAAGCAGATGCAGGAGGATGAGCAGAAGGCCCGGCTCCTGGAGGAGTCCATCTCCAGGTGGGCTGATTAGGGGAGTCCATGTCCTGGTGGCACACAAGGGAAATCCCAAGATGGATGGGCTGGGTTGGCACAGAGATGGGGCTTGAGGACACTGGGCTCTGAGACCCCAGGTTGGGTCAGGTATAGCCACCATAAAGACAACTTTGCTCCATGTGAGTAGTCATGGGTCCCTTCTATGCACTTGAGAGACACACAGGTGTGTGTATGTTGAGGGGGGAAAGGGTTGGAGCCAGAGCACCCAGCCTTGGGCTGGGGTGGGCTGGGGTGCAGATGCTGCCCTATGTGTCCTGGGCTGAAGGTGTCCCCTTCCTCTCCCAACACCCTGCTAGAGCAGGTGTGAGAAGCAAGCGCTGCCAGCGCCAATCCCTGGTCCCTGAGGATGGGAGTTGTCACCACTGGCCTCCCCAGAGGCTTCCTGGCGCCAGCCCAGCTGGCCAGCCCTTCCCACACTGCTAGCAGAGGCCACAGAGGCAGTCGGGCCTACAGGAAGTCGGGGAGGGGGCAGGATGGGGAAAGCAGCCTTCCCGTGGGGGCTGGGACCAAATACCAGTTTCCAGCAGGCAGAGGCCCAGGCCCAGCTGGGAGCAGCAGGGTCAGGACAGAGGGAAATGACCAAAATTCCAAGTGTCTGTCTGCTCTGGCTAAGGAAGGGGCCTAGAGCGTGGAGACTGCAAGGCCATATACAGCATGCTGGACCCCTCTGCCAGAACACTGGATGCTAAGCTGGCTCAGCCTTGGCACATCCAAACCCTGAAGTATCCCCTCCCTCACCTGCTGTTGGGGATTAGAGAGAGTGTGGGGGTGTTTGGCTGGATTTCCCTGCTTGGGGGAATGTGCTTAAAGACAGCAATGTGGGATTCTGGGTGGGTTTGGGTGAGTTGAGTGTTACACCTTCCTGGGCTTCAATTTCCTCTCCTGTGAACTGGGGAGGCAGGAATCGCTTTGTGAATCTTAATTCTAGCAAATATTAAGCACCGACTATGTATCCTGGCTACGCTGGGTGGTCTCAGGGAGGGGGACATGGACAGTCAGGACTGTCATGCTGGCATGATACACAGTGAGTGGGCAGTGTAGGGACTGCTCTTCTCCCATCCTGCGGGGCAGGCCTGGACCAAGCAGAGGGAGGGTGTGAGTCTTGCTGTGCTCATAGTGGCCTTGGCCTCATTCTTTGCCAGGACAATCTGATACTCAGGTGGTAAAAATCAGTGTGTTCAGGGCTCCATTACTCACATTTTGCCTCCTCTATGCCTCTGCCCAGAAACCTCCAGGGAGCCTCCTGGCTCCCTGCCTGCCTGGAGTGGGTCTCCAGAGGGTGTCCAACCTGGGGCCTGGGCACCTTGCTAGAGTCCCAGCTCCATGTCTGTATGTCCTAAGCCTTGAAGGAGACCATGGGGGGAAAGGAGGCACTGCCTTGAGTACCTCCAGCCCTCATGTTTTTGCTGGGTTTACTTGTGCCATTACCTTTTGATACTTGAAAGTTAGCTTTTTTCCATGGCCCCTGCAGAGATAACATTTCCTATTAAAATAAATGAATTTGAGCAGAAAAAAAGTAGAGCTCTTTGGGAGCATATTGTAGCAGGACAAAGCAGAGCCAGTCCTGGTGCAAATCCGTGCTCTGCTACTACCTGGCCAAGCTTCATGCCATGCCTCAGTTCCCCCAGTTGTGACCACATAGGGTTGTTAGGAAAAGTTAAATTCAGCGAACTGTTGTGTGGGAAGTGCCTGGCACCTCACACTTGCCCGCCCCCAGGCTGGAGAAGGAGATCGACGCACTGGAGAATGGAGAGTTGGCCCCGGCCCCCCCAAAGGAGAACAACACAGCCCCAAGCCCAGCCCAGGCCCCTGCCCTGGCCCTGAGCCCAGGCAAGGAGGAGCACAAGATTGAGATGGCAATGAATTCACAGCAGGTAAGGGTGGGCCTGGAGTGGCAAGTCCTGTGTGAGACCATAGTGCAGAGTACCTGGGGCTAGATGGTCCAGGGAGCTGTCAGGAGCCAGCCAAGTGTGAAGACGGGTAAGAGCTTTCCAAATGCAACAGGTCATCAGGTGCAAAGGCAGGACACTGAGACAGAACTATGTTAGAGAAGCAGCAAGAATCTTGACCCTCAGGAGCCTGAAGAGGAGGGAGCGCTGTAGGAAGAAAGAGAGCAAAAGAAGCAGCAAGAGGGCAGGGGCACAGGAGTGTCAGTAGGCAGTCTTGACCACATAGGGTGGCAGAACTGGTCCAGAGAGTAGATGGAAAAGGGACTGGATTCAGGGTTACCCACAGGCCCTGCTGATGAGGGAAAGGGAGGAAAGGCTGGAGACAACCCCCATTTCTGACCTGAACCCCACAAGGATGGAAGGGGAAGCAGGTGGATCACGTCAGGGGCTAAGCCAGGTGTCCCACGCTCCAGGCACTTCAACTCTGTCCTCCAGCCACATGGGGCCTTGGTCAGTGGGGGAGGCCCACACACTGCTGACTCCTATCTTCTCTCTTGCAGACCCCACTGGGCACACCCAAAGGTATGGCTTCCTGGGAGATGGCAACCTCTGGTGGCCAGAGAGGGGATGGCGGAATGGCATTGGTTATTGTTCAGTAAGGAAGCAGCAATCACTGCTGACTGGTTTTGTTATTCTACTTGAGCCCTTATTTGGATCTGGATTATCATCCTTATCACTTCACTTAATTTTCACAATACCCCTGCAGTAGAGTAGCCCAGAATCCTGTTACAGATGAAGAAACTGAGACTGGGGCAGGAAATGCTGCAGTCCTACATCCATGGATCCAGAGGCTCCGGATCCACATGGTGCACACAGGATGCCCAGCTTTGGTGGCCCAGCCTGCCCTACTCCACTCTTGCTGAGGCTCTCACTGTTGTGCTGACCTCAGGTTTTGCATCTGTATCATGGAAGACTCAGGGCTTCTGTAGGGGACAAGGGCCTCTGTCCTGGAAGCTGGTGCTATTTAAAGGGTGGGGGTTCCCACATACACATGGAGCCAAGAAACAGACCAAGAGGAAAACCAAATGTTTGGATTGGGCATGGTGGCTTGCATGGTGGTTCACATGTCTGCAATCCCAGTTACTTGGGAGGCAGAAATCAGAAGAATCAAGGTTTGAGGCGAGCTTGGGCAAAAAGATAGCAAGACCCCATCCCAATGAATAAAAGCTGGATGTGGTGGTACACACTCATTGTCCCAGATATGCAGGAGGCATAGGTAGGAGGATCATGGCAAAAAATTTGAGACCCTACCTGAAAAATAACTTAAGCAAAAAAGGGCTGGAGGCATGGCTCAAGTGATAGAATGTCTGCCTAACAAGTGCAAGGCCTGAGTTTAAACCCCACTACTGCCAAAAAAAAACCCAATGGTTATACTCTATGAACAATTATGTGTGCTCCCTCTCCTCCAATTATGACAGGTAGATAATATGGACACAAATATTTCACATGTATTGATCGTATTTAAATATATATTTTATGGCACTTAACGAAGCCATTAAGTATGGTGAATTTACTAGATACAAGTTACATATGCGTGTGTGTGTGTGTATGTGTGTGTATATGTATATACATATATTTTTTTTTGTGGGACTGGGGTTTGAACTCAAGGCTTAACACTTACAAAGTAGGTGCTCTACCACTTGAACCATACTTCTAGTCCATTTTGCTCTAGTTATTTTGGAGATAGGGGTCTTAACAAAACTATTTGCCCTGGCTGGCCTTGAACTGTGATCCTCCTGATCTCAGCCTCCCAAGTAGCTAGGATTACAGGTGTGATCCACCAGTGCCCAACTAAAATTGTATTTTAAAAATACATTAGAGCTGGACTATGAACCACTGCTGAGTGCTTGCTTAGCATGCGGGAAGCCCAGGGTTCAACCTTTAGCACAGTGGGGAAAAAAAAAAGCCGTGTGTGTGTGTGTGTGTGTGTGTGTGTGTGTGTGTGTGTGTGTGTGTGTGTGTGTGTGTGTGTTAGACTGTCCCCTGCTGGAGCATGAGAAGAAAGCAGTCGTCGGGCACTGTGGCCCAAGGCGACTTGGGTCTGATTTGCCCAGTGTTAATTATTCATAAGAAGAATGTCTCCTTGTCTTACAGTAGAATTAATAATTAAACAAATCCATGCAAGCCTCTCAGGGACTTTGTGAAAAATCAGTTGGACTGAGAGGTGCAAAACCTGACTGTGAGGCTGAGCATGGGTTTGCTTTGGGGAGGGACTGTGTGTTTGGGTGTTTTGGATCTGGGGGCATGCAAGGGTGCCATTATCTGGGGGTCACACAGCCTTTTCTCTTCTAACAACATCTCTTTCCTCCCTCCACCTCCCCCACAGAGAAGCAAGTCTCCAACACCCCCATGAGGACAGTCAATGGTTCCCCCATGATGAAGGCAGGTAGGTTGGAGCCCAGGCCCTTGCCCTGTGTCCAGCCACTATTTGGGACCACATCCCTATTCCAAGTCTGGGTTGGGGATGACCCAGACCTCCCCTCAGTGGTGTGAGAGCTCTGGTCATGGGGCAGTGGCTGACTGGGGCAGGCCGGCACCACTCTGCTTTGCAGCTTTGTCACACCCACTGGCCCAGGCTTCCTGGAGAAGAAGGGCCTGGCATGGCAGCTCTAACCCAACATGACACCCGTGGCTTCCATTCCTCCTAACCTCATGGCTCCCCCAGGGCCTGGGGTAGCACACACACCCCACACACTTCATATGCTCACTGCAGGTCCTGCCTTCTTAGGGGTTCAGTAGTGAGCCAGCCCCACGGTGCACAAAGCCAGGCTCATGTCCCTGCCCTGCCTAGTGTCTGAGTTTCCTGCAACCAGAGACCTGGCACCAAACAGGTCTGAGAAAAAGCAAAGCTGTTACTTGAGTTGAGGAAGCTGTTACTTGAGTTGATGAAAACAAGGAAGAGAAGTGACCTGGATGTGACAGTGTTCCAGGGGAGGGAGGGGAGGCAGGGGAGACCCAGAATCTTCTGTGGGGTGTCAGGGTTGAGGAGGAGAACATTTCCCAAGGTGGAGGATGCCTTCAGGGCATCTATGCCAGGTAGACCAGCCTGGCCTGGCATCCAAGCTAGACCCCATTAATTTGTCCACAGACAGTGTCTGTACAGTGCACAATCTGCACAGCTGTGTGGGCAGCCTTGGAAGTAGAAGTCTAGGTACAGGAATGTTAACTGCATAGGGATGAGGGATTAAGTCAGTCAGTCAGTCAGCAAATGCTTATTGAGTGCTTGCTGTGTGCCAGGCCTTGGGGAATCCATATTCTGTTGGGGGGTGACTGTCTATTGAAGTAACTTAGGAGAGAAAAGGCAGAGAATGTGGAGCTGGAGGAAGAAAACAACTTGCAGGACCTTGTGGTCACAGGGAGGGCTGTGACAGAGCAGGACTCCTGGCTGGGCTCTTATAGGCACCCTCTGGTGGCTACAGAGAGAACAAGTGGGTGGGGCAGTTTGGGGGAATGGTACAGGTGCAGGGATGAATGCTGGAGAGGATGCTGGGTCAAGTAATGGAGATGTGGGGGCGGAGAGCAGGGGGGAAAAATGACCCAAACAGTGTATGCACATGTGAATAAATGAATTTAAAAAAAGTGATGGTGATGATTGCCAGAAGGATGGTGGGGGCCAGGCAGGGCCAGAGTGGGTACTTCCAGGTCTGAAGGTAGAGGCCACAGGGTTTGCAGATGGAGGTGGGGGAGGAGGGAGACAGACCAAGAGGACAGAGCTGCCCTGATGGTGGGAAGCCACTGGGGACAGGAGCAAGGGGCAGATGGGGAGCATGCATGGAACGGTGAGTTTGGGGCTCTTCTGGGAGACTTATAGGTGGCAGAGGGAATAGGAGTTGAGTTCAGGGTGAAATTCTCAAGGAAAGAGACATGCCGCATCATCTTCATTCTGTGGAGATTAGAGCTAGGATCTGATCAAGGTTCCTGAAGCAGGATGGCCTAAGCAGAGGCCAGGCAGGAGGAAAAGCAGGTGACTGGGAGGGCCGGGAGGCCAGGAGAGGATGGAGAGTCTTGGTGCCCTGGAGGGGGCTATGAGGGGGTCCTCAAAGCCCTGGCTGATTCAGAGAGGTTCTCCAGGAGGTGCTCAGACTCTGGTGCCTAGCATCTTTTCTTCTCTGAGGCCTGGGGCCAAGTCCATGCCTGAGGCCACATTCCCAGCCTGGGTTGCTGTTAGGACACAATTTCTCCCTGACATTTTTAGAGTGATGATTTTTACTGCAGTGATATGCTGGCTGGGGAATCGTGGCCCCGTTGGTAGTGGCATCCATGTGTCTTGGGGAATCTATTGAGAGAGATGACAAGCAGCCCAACGGTAGGTTGAGAACACCTGTGAGGTCCAGAGTTGGGATGGGGCAGAGGTTGGGCTGGGGTCCATAGAGTTCACATCTTGGCTGTGACCCTGGGCAAGGCTGGGCCTTTCTGCCGTTCCTTCTTCTTCTTGAGGAACAGTTTCCGGGTGACTGAATGGGACTGGGCTGGAGGGACCACAGCTTGGTGGTTGAGTAGGGAACAGTCGGCAGAGGTGGAAGGATGAGGTGCTGTGAGGCAGGATGGCAGTGTGGGCCTTGAATGCTGAAGGGAAGAATTCAGACCTGAGCCTTCAGCACTGGGAAGCTACGGAAGGATGAGGAGCTGGGGAGGACCACGTCCGGACAGTGAACCTAGCATCCCTGGCAGGGCTGATCCATCTGTGCTTGGCTCTGCACTGCTGGCCCCCCTCCCTGGCTTGGCTGCAGCCCAGCGGGGGGCATGTGGGTGGGCAGGCTGCAGGGTAACCCCGTGCCTCTTGTGTCAGCCATGTACTCAGTCGAGATCACGGTGGAGAAGGACAAGGTGACTGGGGAGACCAGGGTGCTGTCCAGCACCACATTGCTCCCCCGGGATCCCCTCCCTCAGGGCATCAAAGTCTACGAAGACGAGACCAAAGGTATGAGAACCCCTGGTCCCTGCCCTGCCCTTCCATGGCCTGAGTCAGAGCCCAGAATGGGTGTGGTCACTGCATACAGGGCCGTGGGGCCAACATCTAGGCAGATGTTGACTCTGGATGGGGTCAGACTGACAGAAGACCCTGGTTCGAAATGATGGGGGTGGCATGGTGCAGAGCCTGGGTCTCCCCACAGCCCACTGCTGGGGACTGTACCCTGTGCCAGGTGCAGTACTGAGCTCTGGAGTTGAATCCTGAGTCGCGTTCAGGATCTATCCTTGCTGAATGTCTTCCCTGGTCCTTCCAGAACTCGCATGGGTCACCAAGTCACCTAAATAATCCTATTGTGATAAAAATAAAACCCAGACACATGGGGGAAGAGAGGCCTCCAAAGTAGGGGAGGGGCAGAGGCTTCCTCGGAGAAGGTGAGCCCGAAGGGGCCACAGCATGTGCAGAGACCCTGAGGTTAATGGAGGTTGCTAGGCTGGAGGGATTGGGAGGGTCTGGGCTGATGCTGATGGAGGGGGAGACTTTGACAGAAAAGGGAAGATCAGGGCTGCATTCTGAGATGTTAAGGGCCTGGGTTGAGCCAGGAGGTGGAGCTGAGATCTAATTTGTTTTTTTGTTTTTTTGCGGTACTGGGGCTTGAACTCAGGGCCTTCACCTTGAGCCACTCCACCAGCCCTATTTTTGTGAAGGGTTGTTTTGAGATAGAGTCTCAAGAACTATTTGCCCAGGCTGGCTTCGAACCTCGATCCTCCTGATCTCTGCATTCTGAGTAGCTAGGACGACAGGCATGAGTCATAGGCATCTGACTCCCTACCTTTAAAAAAAAATTGACATAAATACATATCATAAAGTTCACATGTACACACGTACACACACTCACACACCTCTTTTTGCAGTGTTGAGTGTCAAACCCAGGGCCTCACACATGCTAGGCTGGCCACACCCTCAACCCGAAATTCACCCTTTCAAAAAATGTGTGATTCATTAGGCCTTGGTACATTCACAGTGTTGTGAACTCATTCCTTCTGTCGAGTTCCAGAGCCATTCTGTCAGCCCAAAGGAAGCTTCACTTTCATGAACAGTCACCCCAGCCCCTCCCTAACCCCAGGGAACAGGATTCTTGATGTTTCCTGTCAATGGAGTCACACACTGTGGGGCCTTTTGTATCTAGCTCTCTCTCTGAGCACAGTGTCCTCATGGTTCCTCCGTGTCAGAGCTTCGTCCTATTCCTGGCTGAGTGATACTCCAGAGTGGATGACCATGCTACATCTGTCCCACTCATCCATCTGTGGACCCTGGGCTGTGTCCACCTTCTAGCTTTGAAATGTGCAGGTTTCTGTGGATGTGTACTTACTTCCCAAGTGTATAACCTGGAGTTTAACTGCTAGGTTACATGATGGCTGTTCTCTACCACAGCTGCACCAGCTCACCCTCTGATTCTGCCACATCCTCATTCCCATGATGTCCTCCAAGGTCACCTCATCCCTGCTGTTCTAGTGTCACTCACTGTGCTTCCAGTACACAAGACTTCAGTGTCATAGGCCCCTCCATCCAGCATACGTATCTAGGATGCTAATAAAGGGATCCAGTCTGAGCCCAGCTGTGAGGTGTAGATCTGGTCCAGTCCCAGCTGCAGCCATGTGGCCCTGGGCAACGCCAGAGTCTCATCTGGTCAAGAATGGCCACTCAATTCTTCCTCTGCCTTCCCTCCATCACTCTGCCATTCTGGCCTCCTCTGCCCAGCCTCCTGCAGCCCCTGGGGACTTAGGACCTGCCAGACTGGACTCTAGTTGCTTAGCAGTGGCAGGTGATGGTTTCCGTGGCAGCCAAGGGCTCAGATTCCTATCTTGGGGCAATGACTGGTGGAAAATAGCCCCATCGTGTGACCCAGGCGTACCTCACCCGCTGGATGTCACCAGCAGACCTTGATGCCGGGTCACCCCTTTCTGGGACTGGAAACTAGAATGGAAAGCACTTTCCGTCTGGCCTGTATCCAGGGACAGGAGCCCTGACCCTTGGCCAGGAGGCGTCCCTAGGGCTGCCTGCCTCCACCCCGTGCAACCCAGGCTTCTGGGAGGAGTTTGTAGGACTGTGATTCAGGGCTGTCATTAAACTGTGACTGGGCGTTCCTCTGGGTGCTGAGACATGGTCCTTAGCACAGCACAGTTCAGGAAGTGACAGATTGAAAGTGACTTCTCAGACTTACTCATAATCTTCAGGGCTTTTACTAGAAGAAAAAAAAAAAACAAGACTGGATAAAATTAGTGAGTCTTTGATTCAAGATCTGCCAAATAGACCTAAGGATATCACTAATGATATCCTCTGTGACTCCCAACCTCCAGTCCCAGGATGGTGGCCATTCGTCACATAACGACTAGACTTGAGGAAGCTGTGTGAACTTGGGCTAGTTCCTTCCTTTCACTGAACTTTCATTGTTGCCATCTTTACACTGAAAACAAAACAAAACAAAAGACCTACTTTGCAAGGTGGCTGCCTGAGTCAGGTGGCTGAAGAATATGGAAATGCCCTCAGAATGCAAGACAATAAAATTCCAATTCACTTTTTTCCGGTCTTCCACGGTTATAAATTTTCCTTTGTGTGTGGCTTTGGCTGCACCCAGATGGCTTTCATTGTCAATTTTTTTCCACTTTTATTAGGATATATTCATTTGTAGGGGGGGGAGGATTCACTGGGACAGTTCTGAATAGCTTTACATTGTACATTGGTTAGATCACCCCTACCAGCTTCCCCTCCAAACACCTGGCTGCTAATCAGTTCTAAATGTGTCATTGATTGTTGGTTGCCTCCTTCACCTCCAGGCTTACCTGCTGTCTGGAAGACTGCTCACATTCTCTTTCTCTTCCTGTGCAGTGGTCCATGCTGTGGACGGCACCACAGAGAATGGGATCCACCCATTGAGCTCCTCTGAGGTGGACGAACTCATCCACAAAGCTGATGAAGTCACACTGAGCGAGGCAGGGTCCACAGCAGGACCAGCAGAGACCCGGGGGCCCTCAGAGGAGGCAGTCCGGACCACGCCCTCCCGGCGGGAGATCACCGGAGTGCAGGCACAGCCAGGAGAAGCCACATCAGGTCCACCAGGCATCCAACCTGGCCAGGAGCCCCCCGTCACCATGATCTTCATGGGCTATCAGAACGTGGAGGATGAAGCTGAGACCAAGAAGGTGCTGGGGCTACAGGACACCATCACAGCAGAGTTGGTGGTCATTGAGGATGCGGCTGAGCCCAAAGAGCCTGCGCCACCCAATGGCAGTGCCGCTGAGCCCCCCACCACTGTGGAGTCCAGGGAGGAAAACCAGGCAGGGCCCAAGGCCACCACCAGCGACCCCCAGGACCTCGACATGAAGAAGCAGCGCTGTAAATGCTGCTCGATCATGTGAGCTGGCCTGGCCCCGAGCCCCTGGCCCCTGCCCTCTGCTCCACAGACACCCACCAGCCCGGCCCTTCTGGCGCCTGCCCACCCTCCACCCACAATCTCACTGGCCTCAGGACAGGCATATTGATCTGTGTTTCTTGAGTTTTCTTCTACTGGAAAGAGGGATAAGGGGCCCCGCCAATCACCACACCCAACACACACCCTGAACCACTGAGCCGTGCACCTCCACCTGGTGGGGGAGAGATGGGCCAACCCACTTTTCCCAAAACCAGGAAACTCCCACACCCCATGTCATGGCAGCTTCCCAGATGCGGCTCACACCCACTGCGGTCTTGGTTGGTGTGACCTGTGGTGTCCTTGCTGCCCCAGGCCATCCCGCCTGTGCCTTTCTGCCACCTCCAGCAAGTCTGCAAGGGACTGCTGAGGCCTGAAGTGGGGCTCCAGAGGCTCCCTGGCCATGGCACTGGCCTCCCAATCATGGGCAGTTGGGGTGAAGCTGTGCTTCTGTCAGCACTCGAGGTCTTGGGGTAGAAGACAAGCTCCTCTGGACATCCCAGCCTAATGTGCCCCTCAGGGCTCAGCCAGTAGATGACGGAGCTTGGGGAAGGGGAGCCCTGGGGATGTGCCCCCATTGGGGAGAAGTCTGTCACCCCTGGGCTGACTTCTAGGTGGGCGGGCTGGGGTCTTTGAGCAACCCCTGCACAAAGCAGGGACCATGTGAGCTGCTCCTTGTCCTGAGCCCCACCTCCACTGGGCCCTCCTTCCTCCTGGTGCTAATTCGGGGACCCTGGGAGTCATGCCCGGCTTCTTCTACAGCCTGCTTAAACTGGGGTCCTGGGTTCCCCACCATACCCCAGAAATTAGGCCCTGTCTGCCAGCTCTGCTGGACTTGGAGCATTTCTGGGCAGGGAGGGTCCCCTTGGGACAGCCTGGGACAGGGAGGTTCCCTGTGAGTTGGAGCAGGAGACCCCCATTTACCACCCAGCCCATTGAGCTGTCCCCTGGCCCCTCTCACTGGAGGTAACAAGGGGCCCCCACCTGTGGGCAGCCAACACTCAGATGTGCACGTCTGCCTGGTTGCACCACTTTTGTCCCCAGAGGTGCACTCGTGCACATGCTCACAGACACCCTTTCCTCACGTGTTGGCTTTGGACAACCAGGCTTCATCTCAGCCCCTTCCGTAGGGGCCTCAGCCTCATGCCCAGTGCTCAGGCTATTGCTTGGTCCAGTCACCACCTGCAGGAGCCACCCCAGATGGGAGCCTGGCTCCAGTCGCAGTGTGGCTTTCTGATGGCTGGGAGGAGAGGCCCTCTCTGGGGGCAAACTGGGCAGTAGCCATGGGACCCCCTCCTCCTCCCTTGAGTCTACCCGAGTCCCTCGAGCCATGAGCCTTCGCTGAAGTGCCCTTGCTGCCCCTTCTGCTTTTGATGTGTGACAAGGCCCCCGATGTTCTTGACTTTCCCAGAGAAGCAAATAAACAGCGTGAACAGCCCAGTTCCTGGAGTTCTTGGGTTTCACCTGGGCAGGGAGGGCGCGCCAGACCAGAGGGCGGGTCTGCGGCAGTGGAGCCATAAAAGGAAGGGGAGGCTGAGCAGTGCCCAGGTGAACTGGCTGCTGTTGCCTGCGGCACTTGCCCCTCAGGCTCACCCATTGCTGTGGGGTGAGAGGCAGTTGTGGATTCCTTCTCAGCAGCTCGTGGGCAGGCAGGTAAGGCCTGGAAGTGAGGGCAGCTGTGGGTGTCCGGACTCACTTCCTGTTCCTGTGAGGCCCTTGGGTTCCACATCTGCTAAACACTAAATCCTGTCATTTGGCTTCAAGGCTGCCTTTACTGGGTTTGTCCCTCCCCCACCCCCACCTCCAGGGATAGAAGGTCTCAGCAGGGTCCCTGGGAAGTCAGAGGCTGGGGAAGATGCTCTACAGGGGCCGCTGCAGCTCAGGGACTGGTTTCCACTGACCTGGGTTCTGTCTCACTGTGATCTTAGCAATGTTGCTGCCCCTCGGTTTCCCTATCTGTAAAATGGGGTGTAGGAACCCTGCATGAGAGGCCAGCCCTGGTCTAGAACAGGATAATTGGGTCCTGTGTTCCTAGCACACATGGTGATCAGTCTCTACCCTTTGAGCCCAGTTTTCCCATGTAAGGTGGTGATGTAGTGAAGTACCTAACACGGTGGTCAGCCCAGCCTGACCACTTCCATATCTACTAGCCCGAATGAAGGGGCCAGAGGGGCTGTGGGAGTAGGTGGAGAGATTGTGTGCTCTGTGCCCCAGGTCGACATTCCAATAGTGGTTTGTTCTAGGCCGGACCCTTTATCCACATCTGTCTTTAAACCATCCCAGATTTGGAGCTGGAGGCCCATTTACTGGAAGAAGCGTTAGAGGTTCAGAGGGGCCCCAAGGCTAGCTGCATGTGGGGCAGACCCCAGCCCAGGGGATAGAAGACTAAATTGTCTGCTTGCATCCCTGGACTGCAAATAGCACTGGGCTGAACAGCTGGCCTCACCACAGATGGTGGGTGAGCTATCTCAGCCAGCAAATTTGGGGTCATTTGGCCTCAATGTCCCCTCCTCCCGGTGGGGAGGGCCTGGACCTTGCCCATCCTGCCAACACTTTTGGATGCTTCTGAATGTCTCAGTACCTCGTATGGACATGGCCCAGTTCTCTCTACGGCCCAAAAGGAACCACAGACCACAGTGCTGGCCCCATTTCCTGAACCAGAAAATAAGGCTCAGAGAGGTTAGGCAGGATCAGATCCTAGGCCCACCAGATCTGTTTCACGGTGTGGCAATCTGAGGTCCAAGAAAAGGGCCAGCTCGGGGAGAGGAAGAAGGGTGGGCCTAGGCAGAGGCCCCCAAGAGGCTTGGAACTCAGTCCCCCCACCCCGCTAGAGGAGCAGCCAGCCAGAAAACCATGGGTGGTGGTGCCTGCTCTGAGAAGCACTGGGAAGGGGTGGGAGAGCCAGGCAATGGCAGCTCAAGGGAGTCTGGGCTGAGTTCCGGCTCCATGAGGCCAACGGGGCCGCCTAAAGTGGGCACCGCACCTACCCCTGCCAGACTGGGTGTCGTCTTTCTCTCTCCTCCTCTGGACTTTGTTTCCCGTACCCGGGTGGAGCTGGGGAGGAGGGGACCTGCTCCTGGGGTGGGGCCTCTGTCCCCTGGCAACTTGTGGGTAGGGTGGAGTGGGAGGACAGAGCCAGAGCCAAGGCTGGGAGAGGTGGCTGGACACCAGGAGCTGGCGGTGAGGCTGGGGGCGTGAGGGTTGGGGGGGGTCCATGTGGGTTGGGGCCTGGATGAGGCGGGGCCTGTTTTAGGTGTGGAGGGAGTTGTGTGCCCATTAGCATAATCAGCTCACCTGTTGGGCACTTAAGGGTACAGGGAACCCCCATCATGCTCTGTCACCCTCTTCCCTAGCTGGGTCTCAGACTAGGGGCGGGTGTGACACTCTTGTCTACATGCCAAACAAACTCTGGACCCTCAAGGTCTGTCCCTCACCTCACAGGGCTGTCCCTGCTAGGGCTTTAGTTCATGCCCCCAACCCCAGAGCCCTGAGCCCTGGCCCTCTGAGGGGGGAGCCAGATTGACAGCCACCTCTCATTTGTTGATTGATGATCAGCCACCATCATTTCTTCTGTGGACTCTGGGGCTCTGGTCACAAATCCCCCTTCCTGGCGTCCAGGGCCCAGTTCAAGGACAGAATGAAGAGCTGAGTTCAGGGGAAACAGCCACAGCCTGGGGCCCGGGTCCTTGGGCTGGGGCCACATGTGGTCAGGCCAGGGTCTGGCCCAGGGTCTGTGGTTGGGGTTCTGCCTGAGGGTTGAGGACTGGGTAGGGCTCAGACTGGAATTCCCCAGGCCAGGATCCCAGGTGACAGTAAATACTAAGAGACAAGACTGAGATTCCCAGGAGCTCCTCCCACAGTGAGACCTGCTGGTCCCTCTAGGCAGCCTTTGCCCTACCGGTGGGTGGAGGCAGGGGTGAACCAAAGAGCCCAGGAACTCCAAGTTCACTCTAGGGTGGGGCCAGCTGGAGCAGCCCATGGGAGCTTCCTATAGGAGGCAGTGCTTGGGAGGGGGCTCCATTGTCATCACTGTGTGGCCTTGGTGTAGCCACTTCCCCTCTGTGGGCCTTGGTTCCTCCACAATAAACTAGTCCTCATCATGGGCTCTGCATGAGGGAGTGGCACCTGCCCCAGGTCATCCTGAGATCAACAGAGTATCCAGGGGTTAAGACTTACGACCACTGTGAAATCATCTGTTGAGCACCTACTGTTTACCAGGCCCAGTGTGCCAGCTCTGCACAGCAGACCCACAAGGTAGTCCAGGTGAGGACAGCATGACCTGCCCGGTCTGAGCCTTGAACTCAAGACCCGTGACCCCACCCCACTCGACTCCATGAGTCACAGGGGAGGAATGAGGTGGAAGAGAGGCCCCGTCTTCACCCCACCAGAGGACAGGAGAGAATTGACACTTGAGGGCAGGCAAGCAGGCCCCTTCTTCTCTCTAGAGTTCATGTCCCACATAGGATAGAAATCTGCTGGGTAAATGTCATCCGTGTACTCAGCCAACACTCCTATGGCAGGTGGCAGTGTAGGGTGGACACTGCCCAGCCCTCCAGAGCCAGCACTGGGCCAGAGGATGGGATCCGGGCTGGGGGGCAGCCAGGTTTGTGGACCTGGTCAGCACGAAGGATACATGTTGGTTCAGCTGGTCTTCATGGAGCGCCTGCTGTATGCCACAGGTGGAGTGGATCCTCGGCAATGGTTTCCGGTGGGAGCAGACATGAGTTTTGATTAGGATGTTCCCCGTTCTAAGAGGGGGATGCAGGGATGGGGCTGCTTGCTGATTGCTCTTCAGGGCCAAGGCACTCAGTTTGGTCTGGCTGGAGTTCATTAGCAGGGCTTTCTTATTATAGCTTTCAATATTTGATACATAGGAAAAAACTGGTTATGGCAGTTATGTATTATAACATTGTATAATCTTGTTTCCATCATCCATTCCACCCAGGTTGTTGATGTCTGTCCCCTTTGGGGAGGAGCTTCCAGCTCCTTTCACAACATTGCACTTTAGCGATGACTTGACCGAAGGCTGTGAGTGGGATCGTCAGCTCTGATGGAGCCAGGCTGTCTCAGGTTGAAGGACAGCTCACATGTTGAGATCTGTGTGCCCTCAGTGAGCCTCTTGTTCCTTGGCTATAGGCTGCAGCACAATGGGTAGTACCTAGCACTCAGGGCGTGGTCAGGCAATGGCTCTATGGGAGAGATAATCTGGGGGCTCCCTGGAGGAGGCATCCTGTGGGCTACAGCAGAAGAGGCTTGGAGGGGCAACAAAGGGGTCCTTGGCACAGAGGGAACTTCAGGTAGAGACAGCACTGGCAGAGGCTGGAGGCTGTGCCAGAGCCAATGGTGTCCCTGAACACTGCACCTCCCAGGAGATACAGAAGTGAAAGCAGGTGTGCCACCTTGAGAAGGACAGTGAGAAAAGACTGTGGACACTAGGTCAGGGTATCACCCTGGGTCCCCACCCAGGCTCAGGGACAAGGTCCAAGGTGTTGCCAGCCCATCCTGGCTTTATGGTACTGAGGATGGCACTAAGGCAGGAGCCTATTTAGATGAGACAAGGTGTCCTGTGGGACAGAGAACCAGGATGTGGGACCAGGAAACAAGTTGTAGGTGCATCTGTCAGCAAGGAGCAGGTGCGCTGGGGCCTGAGCAGGATAGATAGATGGGGCAACAGGGAAATGAAAAATAGTATTTATTAACACCAGACTCAGAAAGTAAAAACAAGAAGTAAAAACTGAAAAGCCAGAGCAGCAAGCTCCCCTCCCATCACCTCCTCCTTTTACATGTTAAGTTACGGGAATACAGAGACATACAGGTGCTTTCTGTACCTGCCAGAGAAGACAGGAAATTGGAGGGCACCTCCAGCAAGTGGAAGTCCTGGACTGACCTATCATCCCTGTGTTTTGGGTAGATTTAGATCACATTTCCATGGATCTTTGTTTGTCTGTTTTGGGGTTTGGTGTTTATATGGGGGCGGTGTTTGATTTTTGACAGTACTGGGCTTTGAACTCAGGGCCTTGTGCTTGCTAGGCAGATACTGTTATCACTTGAGCCATGCCCCAGAACTTTTTGCTTTCCTTATTTTTGAGATAGAGTCTTGAGTTTATGACTGGGCCAGCCTGGACGTCAATCCTCCTATTTATGCTTCCTGAATAGCTGGGATGACAGGTACATGCTACCACACTGGCTATTGGTTGAGATGGGGTATCACTAACTTTTGACCTGGCTGCCTCAAACCATGATCCTCCTGATCTCCTCCTCCAAGTAGCTAGATATCTACCTCCCAAGTAGCTAGAATTACTGGTGAGCCCAGCTACATGTCCATGGGTTTTTTTTGCTTTGTCTTTTTTTTTTTTTTTTGGTGGTACTGGGGTTTGAACTCAGGGCCTCACACTTCCTAGGTAGGCATTCTTACTTCGTAAGCCACTCTAAAAGCCCCATTTTGTGTTGGGTAATTTTGAGATATGGTCTCCTGAACTAATTGCACAGGGCTGGCAGACTTTGAATCACAATCCTCCTGATCTCTGGCTCCTGAATGGTTAGGATTACAGGCATGAGCCATCAGTGCCCAGTTATCTTCATATTTTTGAATAATAAACAGCACCCATCCTGGGCCATGTTTTGAGTAACAGGCCCTTTGTCCCTAATGGTAAGGGGTTGCTTACATGACCATGCTCAAGTAAGAGGCCAACCTAGACAGAGGAAGCTGGTGATAGAAGGAGGCACAAAGGAGCAGTGGGGTCAGCTGTGGCAGCGGGTGGGATGTTTGGGAGATGAATGGACAGTGGTGCCTCGGCCTTATTGGGCTGTAAATGTTATATGGAAGTTGTTGGATCAGTAACAGGGACATCCAGATATTCAGGTATGGATGGATCCAAGTCAAATGTCATGCTATGTTGGGAGTGGGAATGCTCTCAAGCAAGCTGTACCCATCGGGGCACACAGAACCCCTCTAAATTCTCTGCTTCATCCCACTAGTCTAACAAACACAGCGGGAAGAGGGTCCAATTTTCCCTGGTCATTGCAAAGTTCCATTTCATGTTATTGGCTGGGTTGGGTCACTCAGGGATCCCTGAACCAATCACAGAGCCAAAAGGCAGAATGCTGTGATTGACTAGGCTGGATTAGATGCTCTGATTGGCTAGGTTGGATAATTTACCAATCCCTCAATCAATCACAGAGATCACTTTGCTGCCTGGAGCTGGTGTCTCACACCTGTAATCCTAGCTACTCAGAAAGCAGCGATCAGGAGGATCTTGGTTTGAAACCAGTCCTGGGGAAATAGTCCAGATAGGAGACCCAATCTGGAAAAACCCATCACAAAAAAAAAAGGGCTGGTGGAGTGGCTCAAGGTGTAGGCCCTGAGTTCAAACTCCAGTACCACAAAAAAAGAAAAAAAGCCACTCTTGCTAAGGTATGCCCTTTGAGGGACTGAAATTTGTCTCTCCCCAATTGTAGTGACCCCAGGTCTATAATTTTTTTCTCCCTCAGTGAGCCTGTAGGTTTCCATCATAGGAGGAAGGTTGGGTTCAGACCCCTCAAAGAGATGGATCGAGTGACCAGATATCCCATCTTCAGCAAGCCCCACTCAGCCCGTGTCACTGGCCTGGCACTTGACGGAGAGAACAGCTACACCATTGAGCTGGTGGGCGTGGGGCCTGAGGCCAGAAGCTGGAGCCTGAATGAGCCACAGGCATGGCCCACTGACTACCACACCCAGCTGGACACGGGGAGGACAGGGCATCCTATAGCAGACAGGCCTTCTCCAGCCAGCTGTCCCCACGGCCACATTACCTGGAGGATGATGAGGATGAGGAGATGAAGGCTTACCACTTGGATGCTAGGGGTGCTTTCCCCTACCAGTCACAGGACCTGGAACGGGAGCGCTGGGTGGTCATCCAGGGCCAGGCAGTCAGGAAGGGTAGCACAGCAGCCACACTCCAGGGCACCCCTGACCACAGAGTTCCTGGCCAACCTCAGTCCACAACCCTGGGAGAGAACATGGTTGACAGAGAGCAAATTGACTTTCTGGCAGCTAGACAGCAGTTCCTGAGCCTGGAGCAGGCAGCCATGAACCCTGTCCCCCAGAGCTCCCTAGCTTCCCCTGCACGTGCTCCACCAGGACATAGCCAGGCCCTCAAAGCCTTGAATGGGCCTCACCCTGCCAATGGATATGTCGTCCCTATCACACCGCAGGTGAAGGAAGTAGTCAGGGAGGAGAAAATGGTCCACAGCTTCCCTGTTGAGTACAGCATCCAAATTGTGGACAGTCCCGGCTCCCTGTCTCCAGTGGCATCTCCAGAGCCCCCCAAGGAGACGCCCATTGAGCGGGAGATCCGTCTGGCCCAGGAGCGGGAGGCAGACCTGCGGGAGCAGAGAGGGCTCCGGCGAGCAGCCGGCCAGCAAGAGCTGGTGCAGATCACCACTAGGCCGGTGCTGAGCAAGGTGAGCTTGAGTGAGTCTCCACGGAGAGACAGAGGGCGCCCCTCACTCTACGTGCAGCGGGACATGGTGCAGGAGACACAGCGTGAGGAAGACCACCGGCGGCGGGGCCTGCAGGTGGGCCGGGTATCCACATCTGACTGGGCCTCTGAGAACCCCCAGCCTGGACTCAGGAGAAGCCTGAGCTCAGACTCCATCCTCAGTCCTGCCCCACATGCCCGAGCAGCTGACAGGGCTCCAGAGGTGAGGAAAGTTAACCGAATCCCACCTGACGCCTACCAGCCGTACCTGGGCTCCAGAACTCCCCAACAAGACTTCTCAGCCTATAGAGTGTCCAGCAAGCCCAGTGGTCTCTCCACTGAGGAAACCAAAGTCTCTCCAAAGGCCGTGGGGTCTCCAAGGGATCTCTCGGAGTCTTCTGGAAAACCCTTGAGCATACAACAAGTGCCTTCCAAGCCCTCTCGGGGAGCCTTGCAAGCCGATGGGGGCGTTGTACGACAGGAGCATTTCCGTCTGCGTCCGCTGCGGTTCGGGGTCCCAGACAAATCCCAGCAGGCTGAGTCCTCCCACGGCTGGGGCTGGGAGATGGATGGGGCCCCAGTGCTGAGGTTGCAGAAGTCTCTGTCCTCTGATATGCTGGAGAAGGAGATGGAGAATGTCCTGCGCAGGGAGCGAGAGGTGGCAGAGGAGCGGAGGAATGCTTTCTTCCCTGAGGTCTTCTCCCCAACACCAGATGAGGGCTACGACCAGGAAGACTCCAGGAGCTCCTCCCGAGCATCTGGTGAGGAGAGGATGGGGGACTTGCTATTTTACTTAGAGTCTTAGGGGTTGGAACAAGGAGGATGGAGAGGTAGAATTTGAGGATGTCTATATCCCCCAGTCAGCTGCTTAAGCAGTAGATTTTGGAGATAAAAACTTTGCCTTAGGATTTTTGCTTTATGGATTTGAATGTTTGGTTGTTAGGTACATAGAGTTTTGTAGATGTTTGTCTTCTTGGTTTATTGTTCCTCTTTATCCATATGAAATATTCCCCATATTGCTTTGTGTTTTTTCCTTGCCTGGTTGGCCCATCTGTCTATCCAGTGTCTCCTGACTGGCTATTTTGATCAATCTGTCACAACTAGTTGCTTGCTGTCTCATTGACAGCTCCAGCCTCTTGGCCACAGACCCTGTATCTTCAGAACCAAGGTCTGACAAATGTTTCACTCTCCCTGATACCCCTTGCTTCTCCCATACACACACAGGCATCACTGGCAGCTACACAGTGTCTCAGTCACCCTTACTCACCCCCATCCGCCTGCACTCAGGCCTGGTGTGGACAGCAGAGACCCCGGTGGATAATGCTCCTGGGCAGAAGAAGAAGGCACTGTGGGTGAGTAGACTCTCCGCCCAAGAGGCCAGGCTGAAGTCTGAGTCCCCCCACACTGGGGCCGTGGAAATGTCACTGGAGACTCAAGTCTATCGCGGGTCTCCTTCACTGCCCTCTGCTGGTTGTGCTTCAGTGTCCCTATGTGGGAGGTATAAATGATAAACAGGGTGTCTCTTCATCTCAGAGCTTCTGCTCTGAGAGGCCACGTGCAAAGGAGTCTTTGACCTCATTGTGAGGACTTTCCCAGGGTCAAAAGCCAAAGGATAAACTGTAGAGAAGGAGGAAATGGTGGAGATTTAATGTGTTTATTATTGCCGTTATTACTTTGTGTGTGTGTGTGTGTGTGTGGCACTGGGGTTTGAACTCAGGGCTTCATGCTTGCTAAGCAGACACTCTACCACTTAAGCCACTCCACCAGCCCTTTTTTGTATTGGGTATTTTCTATTTTTTTTTCCGGTACGGGGCTTTGAACTCAGGATTTACACCTTGAGTCACTCCACCAGCCCTTTTTTGTAGTGTTTTTTTTTTCAAGATAGGGTCTTGTGAACTATTTGCCCAGGACTGGCTTCAAACCACGATCCTCTTGATCTCTACCTCCTGAGTAGCTGGGTTAAGCCAACGGTGCTGGGCTATTATTACTTATCATCCACAGCATGCACACGGGATGTGCTTGCATTGGCTTGGGGCTTTGCACACATCATACCTTTAATGCGTTGGTGGTCACACACACAGACATGTGGTTCATAAGTAAGCCTGACTCCAGATGTGATTACCCAACTTGGCAACCAAGAAGCCATATTCCTCCTGGGAGGATACTGGGAACACCATGGAGGCTAACTCACACCCTGGTCACCCCACCTGGTGCCACAGCCTGACCCCATGGTTCAGGAACAGGCTGGACCCTAGACCTGGGCAAGTCACTGCTCCTCTCTGACCCTGGTCTCCTGTACAAGATCAGCATGATGGCGATAGATGGCTCTGAGCCTCCACATGAGGATGGAATGAGATGTCCCAACTGTGGTGTAGTGGAATATGTCATGGCAAATGCTGGGAGAGGCTTCACTGAGGGGAACAGTGTGAGGGAATAGCAAGGAGGATGGTCTTGAGTTTGGGGGACAGTGGAACCCTGGGAGAGCTTCACAGAGAAGAGATGAGTTTCCTTCTGCCCCAAGGGGTGACAGTCAGCTGTGCACAGACTTCCAGGTGGACACTGGGGTAGGACAGGAAAGAGCAGGGCTGACTCTTGTTCCTCTCTCACAGTATGCAGGCCTCAACCCCTTGGACGGTGTCAACTCGGAGGTGAGTGAGCTACAGGGGGCTAGGACTCAAGTCCATCCCTCCGCATCTAACCCTCACCCATGACATGGCCCTTGAAGACCTTTCTGCTAGGATTGCCCTTGCTATCTGGTCCACTGGTAGTGTCTGCCCGAGGTGTCTGCTGTGATCTGTTTCTTATGCCTGCCCTGGGCAAAGATCATGGCAGGGGTCTGTGTACTGCCTTTTGACCCCATAAGTAAGGTTTCAACAGATTAGGTCCCAAACAGGGCACTTTATTTTTATTTTTATTTTTTTGCGGTACTGAGGCTTGAACTCAGGACCTACACCCTAAGCCACTCCATGGCCCTTTTTGTGATTTTTTTTTTCAAGATCGGGTCTCTCAGACTATTGGCCAGGCTGACTTCAAACCACAATCCTCTGATCTCTGCCTTTTGAGTAACTAGGATTATAGGCGTGAGCCACTGGCGCCCAGTAACAATGGCTCTCCTCGTGTGTTTTGAGATAGGTTTCATTATGTTGCCCAGGCTGGCCTTGAATTCCTAGGCTCAAGCAATCTGCCTCCCCCAGCCTCCCCAGTAGCCAGGATTATAGAAATATGCCACTATGCTGGGCAGGGGTACTCTTTGAGTGAGACCTGTAGAAGCCCAGCTACCTCAGTTGATTGATGGAATTTGTGGCCCTCCTTAATCTGAGTGCAGAATGCTGGGCCCAGGTATTTTCTCTGCCATGGAGCTCAGCATGAGCTAGTAGGTTTCTTGGTCATATTACTAGGAGTAGAGGATCTGAAATAGAGGAGAGGATGGTCCTACTTCACCACTGTTCCAGGTGTCTACTATAAATTGGCAGGGGAGCCACTAGTTAGGCCCCTGATAAGGACTCCATGCCTCCTATGTGCAGATCCTGGGAGCCACACGGGTCACCCGCCACAAGAATGCTATGGCAGAACGCTGGGAAGCCCGCATCTACGCCAGTGAGGACGAGGACTGAGCCTGGAGACCGGCGTCACCCACTTCCCGCCCTGTCCTGGCCCTGTGGAAACTGACAAAACCAGCACTGAATCCCCACTGTGGGGAATCATTACTCACATGCAGAGGTCCCCCAAAGGATGCTTTTGTATGGGAGGGTTTTCTTCTGGTTTTTATTTTCCTGGGGAATTTTTCTGCTTTAGGTGGGGGGAGTCTACAACTGGGGCTGAAATGGGATCCCTACTGGGTCTTCCTGCTTCTGGATTTTGCCAAAGGCGTTGGGCTCTAAGGAGGAAGACCAACTCCCCCACCTTCAGACCTGATTGTTCTGTCAGTCTGAGGGAGCACAGAGTGTCTGGCCAAGGAAGGAAGTGCAGACCTGAGCCCTGTGCTGGGTCTCTCCTACAGCCCTGACCCCTCTCCACAGTGCACCCAGCATCCATGGGCCAACAGGCTGAATTCCAGGACCCAGGGGTCTTTTCTTGCCCACCCCCAAACTTGTCCACATCAAGTTTGATGTGGACAGCAAACCTGCATGAAATAAACCTGCAGTGCGCTGCCTGCTCTGCCCCATCTGATGTGGGTGAAGTGCCCCGAGTCTCCCTGCTTTGTCTGATCCCTGTGACATTAGTCCTGCCCCACAGGCTGTGAGCTCTGGATCAGCTATCAGATGTTCCCTGTGGGTGCCGCAGGTGTTCAGTAGACGCCTGTGTAAGGGGAGTTGAGTGCGCATGTGGCCTTCAGGCGCTGCCTCCCCTCCCATTCATGTTAAGCACTTGTTGACTCCCCCCACCCTTCTGGTGTCATTGGAGGGGTTATTAATTGGGCTCCAAGTGTGTTCCAGGCTCATGCTGAGGGAGAACCAAACCTACTGATGAGGGATGGGTGTGGGACTGAAATCCAAGCTCTGTTGTCAATGCTGTGTGGTGTTAAATCCTCTGACTGCCTGTGCCTCGACTTCTCCTCTATCCACAGGGATGAGGGTGGAATAGGGGTCAGATGAGCCTATTTATGAAGCACTCACCACAAGCAGGTGTGGATTCAGAGTCTGAAAAAGGGGAAGGGACAAGTCTTCAGCCCCCCACACTGGCCTCTGGGGCTCCCAGGCCTGCTGGGAGCAACTGGTGCTAATTAAACCCTCCGCAGCCCAGCGCAGCGGGAAGCGGGCAGTGACTTATACTATTTTGAGAAATCCATGTTTAAAGCGCCCACTTGAGGCAGTGGCAGATGTGGGCCCGAAATAGTGTGGGGGCTGTGGAGGCCCCCTGGGGAGGGGAAGGTGCTGTGACAAGGCTCAGAAGGGCAGACTGAGAGAGGAGGCCTCTGCCCCTGGGGGGCAGGGTCAGTGTCTTTAGGGACAGCCTTAGTGCTGGCCAGCCCTGTCCTCCCTATGCAATTCTGTCTGTGCCCCAAGAACCACACGTGGGGCTGAATCCCTGCAGGAGGCTGTTTCAGGACCCTGACATACTAAGGCTTACTGCAGGGTAAGCCTTAGTGGCTTCTGCATCATCTGGCACCCCATTTTCCCCTGGTACCTAATAGGTGGTTCCTCTGTCCTCCACCCTGAGGATATGCCTGCTGGAACAAATTACACAAACTCACTGGCTTAGCCAGGTACTGTGGCTCACGTCTGTAATCCTAGCTACTCAGGAGGCAGAGATCAGGAGAATCTGCTCTGAAGAGTGAAGAAGGGGCCACACATCAAGGGATGCAGAACATCTAGAATCTCAACAGATGAGACACACAGATCCTTCCTGAACCTGGGAGGGACCAAGCCTACCACACCTAGTTTTAGATTCCTGCCTCCAGTGAAGGGATAAAAGCATGTGACCTCAAGCCAGTGAGTTGTTTTTTTTTTTTCTTTCTTTCTTTGTTTTCTTTTGAGGATATTGGGGTTTGAACTCAGGGCCTCATACTAGGCCAGTGCTCTACAATTTGAGCCACTCTGCCTGCCCTGTTATATGTTGGATATTTTCGAGATCGGGTCTTGGAATCTATTTGCCTGGGCTGGGTTCAAACCATGATCCTCAGACACAAGGAGAGAAGTCAGAGAGGTTGTCTAACTCCTGCAGGGTCACTCACTTGGTCAGTTGGGGCCACGGTTAGGACTGAAATCAGATTCCCTTGATTGCAAGAGAAAATGGCTAAAGGGCTGGCGGTGTGCCTCGAGTGGCAAGGCCCTGAGTTCAAACTCCAGTACTAGAAGGAAGGAAGGAAGAAAAATTAAAAATGACTAAAGTAAACCCAACTCAAGCTGGCTTTGGCAAAACCGGGTTTTATTAGTTCCTGTAACTGAGTTCAGGCTCAGCTGGATCCAGGCTGCAAACAACACAACATGCCCAGGTTGCTTTTTAGGCTGGGGTATGTGTGGCTGAGTGGTAGAGAACATTTGCAAAGTATGCACAGGCTCTGGGTTCCATTCCCAGTACTGGGGTGGAGGCAGGGGTTCCTTTTTTTTTTTTTTTTTTCTGTATAGAGGTTTGAACTCAGGGTCTTGCACTTGCTAGGCAGGTACCTCCAGGTTCTTTTTCAGTGTGTAAGAACTTTGTTCTAACCCTGGGTCCTGAGTGACTGCGGGCAAGGCCCATTCCTTCTCCCAATCTCAGTTTCCTCACTTGTATATAATAGTCGCACCAGAACCCCACACTCAGGGAATATTAATGGCGGTTGCCAGGCACCTGGCATTACAATCAATGCTGAATAAACATTGGCTCTTGTTACTATGGACTAAGTAAATAAATCCTCACCAGGCAGCCAGTGACTGAGATGCAACTTCCTGATTTATGGCAATGGGGAATGAATGCATGCTGCCACCAGAGGGCAGCAAAACACCAATAATGCAGCACCAACTCTCACTAGGCCAGGGAGAAACCAGCCTGCTATCTGTTAATCATTCCTGCACACCCCAGACTCCACAAAGTGTTCAGGGCTGGTAGAGGAGACAAAGAGGGCATGGGTGCTGGCAGACGGTACAGGACTGAGCCATGTGACACAGAAAAAATAGACCTCCTCTACAGTTTCCATGGATTTTAAATGGCTTTTGATCCAGATCATTACAGCAACATGGAAAAAGGGTGAAGTCAAAGCCAGCCCAGGCAAATTGTTTTAAATTTTTTTTTGTTTTTTGATGGGACTGGGGTTTGAACTCAGGGCTTTGTGCTTGCAAGCCCACAAATTGTTAGCAAAACCCCATCTTGAAAAAACCCAACACAAAACAGAGTTGGTGGAGTAGCTCAAGTGGTAGAGTGCCTACCTAACAAGTGTGAGGCCCTGAGTTCAAACACCAGTACCACAAAGAAAAGGAAAAAAAAAAAAACACCTCACATTATTTTACATTTTTCTATTTTAAATTTCATACCCCAAAGAAAGTTTATTATAATTTTACCTCTCATCCTGCCCCTAAACCTGATTCCTGCCTGGCACCTGTGGACTGTCTCAACAGCCCACCTGGAAGGACTATGTCACAGAATGCTGGAGACACCTCATCACCTCCTCATCATCCTCCCATTACCTCTCCCCAGCATCCTGGACTACCCAGTCATCCCTGTCCTGGTCCTTTGGTTCTGTCCATAGTCTGCTCTCCAAGCAAAAAGGAGAGGACAACAGTGAGCAATGAGTCAGAGCTCCCCATTGTGCCAATAGTCCACCCTGGGGTAAAAACCTAAGTCCTTCCTGGGGTGCATAAGACCCTACTCTACCCTCCCTCTCTCTCCTCCTCCCTCTTCCTCTCTCACTCTGCTGCAACCAAAGGTTCTTTCCCTCTGTTCCCCCAACAGGCCAGGCTCAGTTCTGCCTCAGGACCTTTGCACAGGCCAGGTCCTCTTTGTGGAGTACCTTCCCCAGATCCCCACTTGCACTCTCTTCATTACATAGCACTTGCTCAGTAAAAATGATTGAATGATTGATCACAGCAACCCAAGGAGACAGACATCCTCATTACTCCCATTTCACAGAGAAACAGGCCCTGACAACCTGCCAACCAGCCCAGGTCACAGCCTGTGAATGACAGCTTCTGAGGGGCCCCTGAACCTGCGTCACAACTCAGGCTGGGACTCTGTCTGGACTCAGGTTGCAATGGGAGCACCCAGTTCAGGGCCCCTCACACAGGAGGGGATGAACACATGCTTGCTCGATGGATGGGTATAGGAGGGGCTCCCTGGAAGTGGAGGTGCCTCAGTCTCCCTTCAGCTCTGCTCTATCTACAGAGCTGGGCTTTCTACCCCAGCAGCTGGTAGGTGGTGGGAATTGTCACATCCTACTGTGAGGGACAATGTTCAGATCATGGGGATCCCTCCCAGCTTGCAGAGCACAGTGCTGGTCCCCAGGAGCTACTATGGTTCAGGTTCCAGTCCAGGCTCCCCAGAGAAACTGGTTGCTTTGGGCAAGTTGCTCAACCTCTCTGTGCCTTGGTTGTCTCACATGGAAATGAACAAAGGCTTCCTCTTCTGGGGACCGTCCTATCTGAGGCCCTGGAGGTTTTCATATCCAGGAAGATGATGGGAATGTGGCAAATGTCAGCCAGCCTTACAGAGGCGACTGGACAGGGCGCTGAGCTCACAGCCTGCCAGACCCTCCTGGCTCTTGTGGTCTGGCCACCAATTACTGGCCATATTCAGTTATTGTCCTCATTTCCAAAACACTGAAGTGGGGTTGGGGATGGCCTAGCATGTGGCAAGCTACATAGCAAAAATAAAGTAAAAACCAAAGTCAATTTACATGACATAAATGGCACAGTTCATTGTTTTCAATACATCACAGTCTTGTGCAACCTCCATCTCTATCTAGTTCCAGAATAGTCCTTCATCCCAAATGAGACCTATCCGCATGAGCAGTCACCCCACTTTCTCCCCATTCCCTGGTACCCACGAACCACTTCCTGTCTCTGGATTCTCCTATTCTGGATGTTTTTCCTATCAGTGGTATCACACTGTGGGGCCTTGTGTGTCTGCTTCTCTCACTGAGCACCATGTCCTCAAGGTTCCTCCATCCTGTAGTCTTGTCCTGTTCATGGCTGAGTGCTGC